TTGTAACTCAATAAATCTGACAAAATCCTGCCCCACCCAAAATAAAAGCTCAGCTGAGGGCTGAATTTGGCCTAGGAGTGGGAGGGTGTTGGAAGAGACATGGCACAAGTACTAAACCAATGTTTAATACATGCAATAATAGTATCTAGTAAAACTGGTTTATAGAATGAATTAAAATGTCTTATCCATATATTTAAAGTTGATTTTACTGACTCACAATCAGAAATATATATAGGTCTAATACTTCAATGTTTTTAAAATTAATAGCTACCATTAGTTTTTATTATCTTTTGTTTTCAAAAGTAACAGATTTTTGTAGTGATTTATTTCAAGGTTATTATCTGGGCAAGGAGAGAGGACTTTTCTCCACAAATGTAACTGGTCTACATGAGAAGGTATTCAGTAATATTGTTTTCAAATTTGCATCATCCTCAACCAACTCAGCCAGACAACAGATGAATACGATTAAGTATTTAAGGTTTTCTTCTACGTCATACCCATGCCCCAAGTCTAAAAATTTTAGTGTTTCAAGAGGTAAACAGTATAACAATAACAACAAAATAACAACTACAATTAAACAGAAAAAGGCAAAGCTGTAGATGCATGAGTGCAACCAGGCATCAAGAATAAAAACATGGAGCAACCTATACTTCCTAGTGCTCCTTCTCTTCTACGCTGATTATTACTTCTTTTTTCCTGATCACTAGAGCTATACAAACTTGTTTAAGGGATTCATTTTGTTATATTAGAAATGCTTTTAGTTCCAGATTATAGAAACTAGCCCCAGATAGGGACATTTAATGTTTTCTTAACAAGAAGTCTGGAAGAATCTGGACCTAAGGCTGGTTGCGGATCTAAAAAGTTATGAAGGATCCAAACACTCTATCCCTCTATTCCACCATACTAAGCATGTTAATTTTCATTCTAAGGCTTGTTGCATTATAGTAACAAGATGGCTGCGGTGGCTCCAACATCACATGATCTGGTGGTGGTGGCAGTGGTGATAGGGGAGACCAAAATGAGACACCACAGTTCTTTTTTTACCTACTCCTGTTTACCAGGAAAAAAAATCATTTATAAAAATTATTCCCACCCAAAGCAGAATTCTGCTTACATCTTATTGACCAGAACTGGGACACATGCTGACCCCTGTTCCTAGCAAAGAGGAATGGTATTGTGATGTTGGTCTTAGATCCATTATGATTATCCCCTGGGACTGGGAGGTAGACCAAGTTTCCTAAATATATTGCTGCCTCTATCTTCTCCCCCTCCACCCCTCACCCCCAAATAAGGACTATAGAAAAAGTAGGATAGGCTATCACAACATCTCCCATAATTTTCAAAACAATTATCCAGGAAGATAAAGCACATTTTTTTTCAGGAAATTAATTGCCTTACATAAGAATCTTATTCTCACTTGCTCCATACTTCACCCACTAAACCAACCAAATTTAAACAATGGAAGCAAGAGATGAATGTACCATTTGTGTCTTTTATATAATTCCATTTTCACAAAACTCAAAAGTTTAGGTAAGATACTAATATAAGTAAAACTTTAGTGTTCCCAATTTCTAAATATTATTCACCCTCACATAGTGAAATGAATACTTTTACAAATTGTTGTAGACTTACTGAGTAATCAGTAACTGTGTGCTCTTTCTTCACTCTAGCCCAGCAGAAATTGCACTTATCAATTCCTGCTGTTTATATTGTTCCCTCCATAGCTACTTGTATTAGTTATCTTGCTAGGTGTTATTTTCATTTGCAGTACACATTATAATAAATACTTTTCTATCAGAAAAAAATTAGAGTGAAAGAATTTAAACAAAAATAAAACAAAAAAATGTTGTTTTTTAAACAGACTTTAAATCAGGGGTCAAAATTGGCAGACTGATGGTAAGTTTTATTTGTCCAACAAAACGTTTACAAGTTTTTGAATTTTGAGGGCCTTTAGGTGAGCTTATATTCTCCAGTTTGCCATAGGCCCCTCCAGCCCTCTTTTATTATACCTGACATTTATGCACTCATAATACCTCCAGTAGGCACCTGAATTTGCCAATCCCTACTTCATGTGGATAAACCAAAATTAATAAATAAATAATTTTTTTGTATTTGCAGAAAAACTTCCTGGCTTATAAAATGATCTGTAAATGAATAATGAACTCTCCCAAGACAACTACATTTCTGGCATGCTGACTTAAAATTTTTGGCTTGCCTTTCGTTAATAATAGTCTCTTTTAAATAGGGGAGATAGAAGGTGGTATCATGTCTTTGTTGATTTATTTGACTAAATTGTGTTCACACCCACAATGGGTGATTTTGCATTAACAAATTATGCATACTTTATACAAGGTGAATAATCCTTATTTGAAGTATTTAGGACCATATTTTTGATTATTTTGGATTTTGGAATATTGGCATTATACTTACCAGTCAAGCATCCCAATTCAAAAACCCAAAATGCTCCAGTGAGCATTTCCTTTGTGCAACATGTTGGTACTCAAAAAGTTTCAGATTTTGGAGCTTTTGAGTTTCAAATTTTCAGGTTTGGGATGCTCAAGCTGTATTTATATAGTTTCAATTGTATACTTTAAAATATATTTTAGAGGACTAAAATGTTTAAAGAAAACAATTATTAATATGTATACAACTTTCCAGACATACCTTTAAAAATTAGAGCATTTTATATATAAATATTTTACAAATAATTTATCAAATATTATTTTCCATATAGGATAAAAAATCCACGCAATATCACAGAACAGAGGGAAATTCACACTCACTATCCAGGTTATTAAATACCTAAGACCACATTCTTTTCTTAACAAAATTGACCTTTAATAGTGTTAAAAGTTTTCTACTTAATACTTTAAGAAATAATGGTGCAATACTTTAAATGAAGTGAAGAATTTGGGAACTTGGAAAGAAACATTAAGTAGTTCCTATTTCTCCCATCTTTTTTTCCATGTGAACATTGACTCATAGATCATTTTTGTACTATCATGTTCACCAGTAGTGTGGATTTATTAGAGCTCTCTTTAGCCAAAATAACAGTCAACTATCTGTGATTATATTAACTGCTTTCCTGTCAGTCCCTAGTAATTTGCCGTTGTGACATTATCACTTTTTTTCTCTAATTCCCATCTTCTTTATTCCAAGTCCTACTCTGACCTCCTTTTATTTTCTCTCCCTTTATTTGTCTAAAAAGATAAGCAAACATTAATATGCAAGGGGAGTGATGAATACAAAGCTAACCTCTTAAGGACCTGTCCAACTCCAACATTCCTTCAGCAAGTCTTAAAATCTTGTTAGTGTTATACCATTACCATTTATTCTAATATGTGCCCTTAAAAATTAAAATGCTACAACTAGTTGAAATACCAAATAATATTTAAAATATTTTTCTAAGATTTAATGCAAGAGACAATAAATACAAAGAGTAGCAACACTCTCTGGGTTAGTTGTTTACAGCCCTGACTGAACATCAAAATCATCTGGGGCAGACTTAAAAATTACTAATGCCTAGAACCATTGCCCAGAAATTCTGATTTAATCAGTTTCGAGTGCAAACTGAACATGAGATTTTTAAAAAATTCCCCAGATGATTCTAAAGTACAACTAGTGTTGAGAACCACTGGTCTATCTTCAGATTATCTGTGCTTAACCTTGACATACATTAAAATCAATGGATGCACTTTAAAAATAGTTTCCGAGACTCTAGCTTCAGAAATTAAAGTTCAATTTGTCTGGGGTGGAACCCAGGCATTGATTTTTTTGTTAAAAGTGTCTGGATTTTAATGTAAAGCCAAGATTAAGAATTATTACTCAAGAACCAAGATATTTAACATTTCGGTCCAAGACAGTATGATATACTGTCATTGTGTTTTTGTTTTTGTTAATGACAAGCTATAACCTTTGCTAGAAGAATTCAATGGAACAAAATCAGTTTTATAACTAAAGTAAATTAATTTTGTTTTAAAGGTTATTTGCAGTAATGGTCATTAGAAGATAAACTGAGGTACATTAAAATATTAAAGAGTTTGAGCATTCAGTGATTCATGAATTGGCAGCTTCTGTTGAAGGGGCCCAAGAAGAAGGCTTAAATATTTTCTCTGCCTTGCTTCCAAGGTTAAAGTGGAGCAATAGACTTATTTGGGTTATTTCAATGGAAAGTCCTAGTTCGTAGTTAGTTGCTGGTTGGTTAAGCTTAAGTTTTCATTTTATCATTTCCACTGTGTTGGGTTTCCCTTTGCTTAGGTAGGAACCCAGGGAGCTGGAGCTGCCTCAGTCTAATGGCTCTAATTAATTATTTTAACACAATACTTCAGCATACACTTAGAAAAATTGCAGTTCTAGATATTCTGCCTCTGAGTGGTTTTAGATTCGTTCTTCCTGTAAAGTTTGGTCAAATTATTGTATTTCTGTTTATAAGTCTAAGGTTCAGAATTTTTAGTTGCTCTGAGAAAGTCTTTATGGAGAGTAGAGTCACCATATTGGGTAGAATGAAAGTGACTTTGGATCTTTTTTTATTAACATTCTAATATAAAAGAGTGAAGACGTCTCATATAAGTATGTATTCCGGATATAGTATTAATGCACACAAAATTACAATCTCGGAAATAATTTCCTATAATGTAAGAATATAAAAATGTCCATTTTCGAATTTATAACACAAGGAAAGGTACAAAAATTTAATTATTTTTTAACAACGTTGAATATACAAGTGACAAAGTAAATATTAAAAATCCACTCAGTTGGGGGTGGAGAGAGGAAGGACGGGCCACACGCGGAAGAAGACAGAGCGAGTGTCGCTTGCAAGCGGCCACGCCCCCACCCTGCTTTCGGCTCCAGAGTCCGGCCACGAATCCCAGAGCGCACGCGCACTCGATCCTCCTGTCGCTGAGCTCATTTCTCTTGGGCGAGTGCGCGGTGGTCACGTGACAGAGCCGCTGAGGGGCGGCCAGGAGGCTTCGTGCTGCGGCACCGACAAGAGTGCCGCCATGGCAGATGCCAAGCTGGATGCGAAAACCGTGCAGGTGCTGCGAGACGCGGCTAACCGCCTGCGGGTCCATTCTATCAGGGCCACGTGTGCCTCCAGCTCCGGCCACCCCACGTCGTGCTGCAGCGCCGCAGAGATCGTGGCCGTCCTCTTCTTCCACGCGATGAGGTATAAACAAACCGACCCACAACACCCCGACAACGACCGATTTGTGCTCTCCAAGGGCCACGCTGCCCCAGTGCTCTATGCTGCCTGGGCAGAGGTGGGTGACATCAGTGAGTCCGACTTGCTGAGCTTGAGAACAATTCACTGCGACTTGGCAGGACATCCCACCCCTCGGCTGCAGTTTGTTGACGTGGCAACAGGATCCCTTGGGCAGGGATTAGGTCCAGCGTGTGGAATGGCTTATACCGGCAAGTACTTCGACAAGGCCAGCTACCGCGTGTTCTGCCTTGTGGGCGACGGCGAGGCCTCAGAAGGCTCTGTCAGGGAAGCTTTGGCCTTTGCGTCCCACTACAAATTGGACAATCTCGTGGCAGTCTTCGACGTGAACCGCTTGGGACAGAGTGGTACCGCGCCCCTTGAGCACTGCACAGGCATCTATCAGAATCGCTGTGAAGCCTTTTGTTGGAACACTTACTTTGTGGATGGCCATGATGTGGAAGCATTGTGCCAAGCCTTTTGGCAGGCAACACAAGTGAAGAACAAGCCTACTGCTATTGTTGCCAAGACCTTCAAGGGTCGAGGTATTCCAAATATCGAGGATGCAGAAAATTGGCATGGAAAGCCACTGCCGAAAGAAAGAGCAGATGCAATTATCAAATTAATTGAAAGTCAGATACAGACCAATGGGAATCCCATTTCAAAACCCCCTGTGGAGGACTCACCTCAAATTAGCATCACCAATATAAAAATGACCTGTCCACCTGCTTACAAAGTTGGCGACAAGATAGCTACTCGGAAAGCATGTGGTTTGGCTCTGGCTAAACTGGGTGGTGAAAATGAAAGAGTTATTGTTCTGGATAGTGATACAAAGAACTCCACGTTTTCTGAGATATTCAAAAAAGAACACCCTGAGCGTTTCATAGAATGTTTCATTGCTGAGCAAAACACGGTAAGCGTGGCAGTGGGCTGTGCCACACATGGTCAAACCATTGTTTTTGCTAGTACTTTCACTGCCTTTTTCACCCGAGCATTTGATCAGATCCAAATGGGAGCCATCTCTCAAACCCATATCAACCTTATTGGTTCCCACTGTGGAGTATCAGTTGGTGAAGATGGACCCTCCCAGATGGCCCAAGAGGATCTAGCCATGTTCCGAACCATTCCCAATTGCACTATTTTCTATCCAAGTGATGCCCTTTCGACAGAGCATGCTGTTTATCTAGCTGCCAATACCAAAGGAATGTGTTTCATTCGGACCAGCTGACCAGAAACTGAAGTTATTTATACCCCACAAGAAAATTTTGAGATTGGACAGGCCAAAGTAGTCCGCCACAGTGACAATGACAAGGTCACAGTTGTTGGAGCTGGAGTTACTCTACACGAAGCCTTAGCAGCTGCTGACAATCTTTCTCAACAAGGTATTTCTATCCGTGTCATTGACCCATTTACTATTAAACCGCTGGATGTTGCCACTATCATCTCCAGTGCAAAAGCCACAGGCAGCCGAGTTATCACAGTGGAGGACCACTACAGACAGAGAAGGTGGCATTGGAGAAGCTGTATGTGCAGCTGTCTCCAGGGAGCCCGACATCCTTGTTCATCAGCTGGCAGTGTCAGGAGTGCCTCGAAGTGGGAAGCCTAGTGAACTGCCGGATATGTTTGGAATCAGTGCCAGACACATCATAGCGACTGTAAAATATACTTTAATGAACTAAAATAAGCTCATTTCTTAAAAAGTCCATCCTGTTGGCTTTGGTCTTTTTTTTTTTTTTTTTTTTTTTGAGACAGAGTCTCACTGTGTTGCCCGGGCTAGAGTGCCGTGGCGTCAGCCTAGCTCACAGCAACCTCAAACTCCTGGGCTCAAGCAATCCTTCTGCCTCAGCCTCTCGAGTAGCTGGGACTACAGGCATGTGCCACCATGCCCGGCTAGTTTTTTCTATATATTTTTAGTTGTCCAATTAATTTCTTTCTATTTTTAGTAGAGACGGGGTCTCGCTCTTGCTCAGGCTGGTCTCGAACTCCTGAGCTCAAACAATCCGCCCGCCTCGGCCTCCCAGAGAGCTAGGATTACAGGCGTGAGCCACCGCGCCTGGCCTGGCTTTGGTCTTAAAGCACTAGTATGTTTATATTAAGTTCATGCTTGTTACAAAAACCATCATTTTATATTTATAGAGTTATGCTTTTTTTCCTTTAAAGCAAAGCCATTTAACACCTTGCTTCATTCTTAATTGAGAAATTCAAGTTTACCTTTCTATTAATCTGTGACTATATACACAGATGTCATTCTCAATCATTAAAGTGGGTTGTAAGATTTTAAGTAACATAATAGGAAATAAAACAACCACCTCATACAAAGCTTTCTGATAAGGCTACAAATAATAGACTGAGCTGGGGATCAATGTAGAGGTAACTGTAATGGGTTTGATTTCCTTGTAAGTTAAGAAAGTGTAAATTAAATTGCAGACTTCAATAGCCTAGGTTTTAAAGCAAATTTGTGTTCTCATATAATGCTATTCTGCACCTGCAGTTTTCAGGGTAATATTTGACTGCAGTTGCCTTGGAATTTCCTCTGAAGTTTCCTTTCATCTCCCCTCTGCAGTTTAGAGGCCGTGGGGCAGCAGTGAAAGCCCTTACAATGTGCTACACTGCTTGTGGTGACTGTTATGTGAAAACATAACGCTGTAGTTTGCATGCTATGCACACTGTTTTAGGAAGATTCAGAAATGTTTATTTTTTTCGGTGGCCAAAATAGGTTGCTAACCTGATTATATTCATCTACTAAGGATACTAAAGTCAGAGTAATAAAGTATTTAAAAACCAGCTGCTTTGTTTAGTTTATGCCATGTGTGTGGGATTTGGTTTCTCCTTGGATAAAACTCTAAATAAGGAAGAAGCTTGTATCTACATAGAAGCAGAGAGAGGCATGTCCCCCAATAGCAAACCTGGAAAAGGGCTGGGGCTGGAGATAAATCACTAGAGAATGACGCGTGAACTAGAAAGCCATTCTTTAGCATACACACCTTACTTTTAGCTGAGAGCATAAATTGTATGCTTGGAATACAAGAAAGAAGTACCAGTCAGGTAAGTTAAAAATGGACTCAAGTTTCCAAACTAAATAAAAATTCCTCAGAGTGTGTCTATGTCAGGTAATTAGTTTCTTATTTTTATGACCCTCATTAAGTGTCCTCATGAAGTTCTTTGGAGGCATAACCAATTTGTCTTGGCAATTGTCATCTTAGAAGGTGTGATAGAGACCAGAAAATACTAACCTGGGAATCAGAGAAACCAGGGCCTACTCATTCTGCTACTTTTTTTTTATTATTATTTATTTTCCTCTGAGCTGTTTTCCTCTTTTGGAAAATGAACATGATAATTGTTGTTTTTCATAAGATTTAAGTTATTTGTAAAAATAAAAACAGTTCATATAGGATCATTGTAGAAATTTAGAAAATGCAAATGAGCAAAAATTACCTCACATTTGGCAACAACAACAAAAAATCCATTCAATTGCATTTATTAGCATGTCGTCTGTAACTGTGGGTCTCTTAATATAGTCATTCAAATCTAGTGACATCAACCAAATATTTCATCTAATAAATAACAAGTCTCCATCCTTACATCTTTCATACCTTAGCAAGAGATAACACTGATTCAGAAATGTAAAATGGATAAAATACACAAAATTGCTTGTCATAATTTGGGTGTGCATTACTGGGTATGCATAAAAGTCTTCAGCTTTTATTACATGAATGTGGGGCTATGAAAGGGTCTGTTTCCAACCAAATATGCGTAAACACACCTTTAATGATGGCAATAGATCAGGCATTATTTTTAATGCCTGAAGGAACCTCAGAGACCACTAGAAATTATATCATTTGTAGAAGGGTGAGGAAGCCTTTAGAATCCTGCAAACTTTCTGTTTCCCAAGTTAACAACCTTAGTGGCTAGCAGCTTCAGAGAGAATAAATAGTAGGTGAGATTTATGTCTACAGTTCTTCAAGTAAGATGGACTAATATCCAATTTTGATATACTGAATGTTCTTTACCCTTGAATCTATGCTGAGATCTTTTAACTATCCATGGAAATCTTGGGAAAGAATGATCCCGATGCTAACTGATGCTGCTGATGCAAATTCTTGGCTGCTGAAGCTTGTGGAGATGTAGTTTTGATGAACAACACGATCACTGGTTTAACTTTGGACTTCTGTTCATTGTTTTGCCTTGAAGAAGGTCTATTATTAATAGATTATCAAGAGAGCTGGATGATATTCCACAGACCACCAGCAGCTGCCCTACTGGTTATATCAATAATGCTTGCAGGCGGTCATCTGAGAATGACACCAGTCATTCAGGTGGTAAATGGCTCCTAGGTCATTTGATTTGTGTGACTCTCAGAGATAGTAAAGGAATCAGGACAGTGGGGTTTTATTTTCTTATTTAAAACATCAATAGCTCTTATGCTACCTGGAAGTTCAATTGAGGGCTCTGCTTAGGGAAAAAAAATTAATTTTTTTTTTTT